CAAGATTTCTGGCTCTCAAAGACCTGTAACTTCTTCTTTAAGAGGCTCCTCTGTCCTCCACTCGTTACCTGTATTAATGGCACCTGTTTGAACTTGTTATCAGTATAAAAGACACCTGTCCACAACCTCAAACAGTCACACTCCAAACTCCACTATGGCCAAGACCAAAGAGCTGTGAAAGGACACCAGAAACAAAATTGTAGACCTGCACCAGGCTGGGAAGACTGAATCTGCAATAGGTAAGCAGCTTGGTTTGAAGAAATCAACTGTGGGAGCAATTATTAGGAAATGGAAGTCATACAAGACCACTGATAATCTCCCTCGATCTGGGGCTCCACGCAAGATCTCATTGTGATCATTTTGACCCCACGGGGTGAGATCTTGCGTGGAGCCCCAGATCGAGGGAGATTATCAGTGGTCTTGTATGACTTCCATTTCCTAAGAACGGTGAGCAAAAATCCCAGAACCACACGGGGGGACCTAGTGAATGACCTGTAGAGAGCTGGGACCAAAGTAACAAAGCCTACCATCAGTAACACACTACACCGCCAGGGACTCAAATCCTGCAATGCCAGACGTGTCCCCCTGCTTAAGCCAGTACATGTCCAGGCCCGTCTGAAGTTTGCTAGAGTGCATTTGGATGATCCAGAAGAGGATTGGGAGAATGCCATATGGTCAGATGAAACCAAAATATAACTTTTTGGTAAAAACTCAACTGGTCGTGTTTGGAGGACAAAGAATGCTGAGTTGCATCCAAAGAACACCATACCTACTGTGAAGCATGGGGGTGGAAACATCATGCTTTGGGGCTGTTTTTCTGCAAAAGGACCAGGACGACTGATCCGTGTAAAGGAAAGAATGAATGGGGCCATGTATCGTGAGATTTTGAGTGAAAACCTCCTTCCATCAGCAAGGGCATTGAAGATGAAACGTGGCTGGTTCTTTCAGCATGACAATGATCCCAAACACACCGCCCAGGCAACGAAGGAGTGGCTTCGTAAGAAGCATTTCAAGGTCCTGGAGTGGCCTAGCCAGTCTCCAGATCCCAGCCCCATAGAAAATCTTTGGAGGGAGTTGAAAGTCTGTGTTGCCCAGCGACAGCCCCAAAACATCACTGCTCTAGAGGAGATCTGCATGGAGGAATGGGCCAAAATACCAGCAACAGTGTGTGAAAACCTTGTGAAGACTTACAGAAAATGTTTGACCTGTGTCATTGCCAACAAATGGTATATAACAAAGTATTGAGAAACTTTTGTTATTGACCAAATACTTATTTTCCACCATAATTTGCAAATAAATTCATTAAAAATCCTACAATGTGATTTTCTAGATTTTTTTTCCTCATTTTGTCTGTCATATTTGACGTGTACTTATGATGAAAATTACAGGCCTATCTCATCTTTTTAAGTGGGAGAACTTGCACAATTGGTGGCTGACTAAATACTTTTTTTCCCCACTGTACGTTGTTCTGTTTTTTGTTGTTGTTATTCTGTCTCTCACTGTTCAAATAAACCTACCATTAAAATTATAGACTGATCATTTCTTTGTCAGTGGGCAAATGTACAAAATCAGCAGGGGATCAAATACTTTTTTCCCCTCACTGTTTATATATATATATGTAATTTATTTTTTACTGCAATTCGCCAGGAGGATTCAGGAGCCCGCTCTCAATGAGTGTAGACAGCCTGCTGCTGCCTGCTGCCGCTCTGCTAATCGTCAGATGGGGGGAGGAGAGGATGTAGGGGGCCCACGTGGGTAACTGGGGGGCCATGTCTTGATTGGGTAATTGGTTAATAAAAAATCCAATTAAAATAAACTGCATAATAAATAAATGTGAGTGGTCAAATTGTGTGAGGCAAAACATTTTTATAAAAAATATGTTGTATTTTTTAAATCTAACCACAGGAGCCAGCTCTCAATGTTCAGAATACACCATAGAGCATAATTTAGCCACAGAGGATCAACAGTTTCAAATAAATAACTATTGATTACATTTTATCACAAGTGCATACAGGTAACTGCCAAAATAAAGGAAACACAAACATAAAGTGTCTTAAAAGTGACCTGTCAAAACAGCTTCAATGCCCGGAGCTGTCTGGAGCACTGTACCTGCACCTCAAATGTTTTGGGAAATGGGCGCCGGCACCTTTATAAAACCAAAGGGGCCTATCACCAGCCTGGATTCAAACACAGTGTCAAAAAAAGGTTGATCAAAGTGGAATGAAGGTGGGATCTGCATTGAATAGCAATGGAGCAGTGGAGGCTGGTGGGAGGAGCTATAGAAGGACGGGCTCATTGTAATAGCTGGAATGAAATTTATGGAATTATATTAAACACATCAAACATATGGAAACCACATGTTTGACTCCGTTCCATCCATTCCATTCCAGCCATTACAATGAGCCCATCCTCGTATAGCTCCTCCCACCAGCCTCCACTGTAATGGAGTGGGCATTCATATCCTGATTCCGCTTTGTTCAAGTTTATTTGTAGCTATTCTGTGAATCCAGTGTAGTCTATGCATGCCAGCCTAGTTCACATTACATAAGTACTCCGTTATGTTGCGCTGGATGTCATGTATTTCAATGGAGACGTCCACTACGGAGTGGAAATGCAACGCCCCCTTGTGGTTGAATGCACAGTTGCGAGACGAACGCGCAAATCAAGCTCTGTACTGCATTGCAGTGTGCCTCCCAAATTTTGTAAAAGGGTCTGCATGGTCAATCCGACTTCTGCAGTGGCCGTACAGCATTTACTGCTATACGGCCTCTGCAGAAGTGAGGGCATTTATGCTTCTTGCCTTTGCTGAGCAGAGCTGTTGTGAAGGAAGTTGTCAAGGAAGTGAGTTTGTGTTTATACTGGACCTCCCGCCCTCACCTACCATCAACCAATCATGTCAATGCGGAGCTATACTGAGCCCTCTGCGTTGTCACATCAATTAGGGATGCACATGGCGATGCGGTACAGAGCTCAATTTGGCCTCTGCATGCCTCCAGAGGCTCTGCAATTGTGTCACGCCCTCCATACGGAGCCACCGACCACATTTTCAGATCAAGCATAAATTGGCTTTTACGGAGCTCAATTGGTCTCTGCATTCCTCCAGAGGCTCCGCAATTGTGTTGTCTTCAGTCCAGCCAGAGGCCGTTGAAAAACAGGAAGTTACCAAACCACAGAAGGAAATGAAAATATGTTTCTTGAATGAAAAGGTCATATTCTGCAATCTCCCCAAATAAATGCGATCTTTGATGAGAGACAGGCTCTCTTCCATCTTGCGTCACAAACACTACACTTGTCCTTTCAGCAGCGGGGCAAGACTCTGTGAAGATAAAATATGTCACAATGTAAACGGGCCAGAATTAGTTTGAAAATGCAGATTGAGAATCTGCCAGCCTGAATGCGCACAATGCGCTATTCCAAGTTGTCAAATGATGGTTCTTATGGACACGAAAATCCCGGAAAAGTCATGGGATTTTCATATTGTGTTTTCCTTTTAAAATATATTATCAATCACTTAAAAGGGTAATCAGCAGATGCTACATCTGTTTTTGGACTTATAAATGAACGACATGTAGGCTACCCATTGATTCTTGAAGAATATAATTTATAAATTCCTCATGAGTTTAGTTCAACTGTCATTGAACTCAAAATATATGCTTGTTTTACTCCAATGTTTGTAAACAAAGAAAATGTAAACAAACACTATACAGCCTCAACATGGTTAAAATTATCATTTGGATAACATGGATGATCAATCCTAGCATCCATAGCTTTGTCTATGAATTTGAGAGTGATTACATTTCTCCAGCCCCTTCCCTCAGCTTTTTACCGAACCAGGGGTGGGGTGCTGCTTTGTTATTGTTTCTTCTGCTGATTGCAGCTTTAAAAATCGACATATCAGCCATGATCAGAATTAGGCCTTCAGCTCATCTCTGTGTGCTGTGTACCATCTGCGTGTGTGCCAGTGCGAGTGGGCTGCTGCCCGAGAACAGAGAGAGAGAGAAAGATACATTTCTGCAACAGGTAACCTATAAAATAATGATAGACTAACCACACTGAGTGTACAAAACATTAGGAACACCGTCCTAATATTGAGTTGCAAACCCTTTTACCCTCAGAACAGCCGCAATTCGTCAGGGCATAGACTCTACAAGGTGTCGAAAGCTTTCCACACGGATGCTGGCCGATGTTGACTCCAATCCTTCCCAAAGTTGTGTCAAGTTGGCTAGATGTCATTTGGGTGGTGGACCATTCTTGATGCACACGGGAAACTGTTGAGTGTGAAAAACCCAGCAGCGTTGCAGTTCTTGACACACTCAAACCGGTGCGCCTGGCACCTACTACCATCTCCCTTTCAAAGGCACTTAAATATTTTGTCTTGCCCATTCACCCTCTGAATGGCACACATAATCCAAGTCTCAATTGTCTCAAGGTTTAAATAATTATTTAACCTGTCTCCTCCCATTCATCTATACTGATTGAAGTGGAGTTAACAGGTTATATCAATAAGGTATCATAGCTTTTACCTGGATTCACCTGGTCAGTCATGGAATGAGCAGGTGTTCTTAATGTCTTGTGCAGGCTTTTGTTCGAGCCCCGCTCTAACACATCACATTCCCACTGGGCACACACTTGAATCAACGTTGTTTCCACGTCATTTCAATGAAATTACGTTGAACAGATGTGGACTAGACGTTGAATGAACGTCTGTGTCCAGTGGGATTGTAGCCTAAACATCAGCTGCTCAACAGGACCTTGATAAGCAAACTCGGCTGTGTTTCAGGGCTGGATCAAAAGCCTGCACACCCAGTAGCTCTCCAGATGGAGGGTTGACCACGTGTTTTATACTATAGCTTAACAGTGCAGTTATTCTACTTTGTGGGGGGTTAAGTGCCTTGATCAATGGCACAACGACAGGAGCCTACATGGGATCAGAAACCAGCACCCTTCTAGTGTCAATATCACATTTATGCTGACTCTTTCATGTAGGCTACATAGAGACGCCACCAATTATTGGTCATGGAAATGTGGTTAAATGTCATGGAAAAGTCATGAAATTCTATCTGTCAAACTGTGTATGAACCCTTAACACTGAATAATCAGGTCTCAATAGCATAGGCTAATGCCATTTGGGCATTTCTGTGAACATAGTCTAATGGACCGATTTCATTCCAAGTCAAGCACTGTGTATTCTAGCCTATCTATGATGATATTCAAGGATGATGTTCAGTCCCATGTTATCCCAAGCATTTGGCAGCTGAGTTCCCATAGTTTCTGAGCCACCTCGTCATCCCTGGCAGCCCTGGTACAGCTGGAGGGTTTACAGTCACTGTGAACAATGCAAATACAATTCAGTAACAAATAATATGTGTATCATATACTAAATATCTTATGTGAACCTATGATTTATCTAAAATGTCACTGTGGTCTAAAAACCAATGCATTTCATTGTGTGAATTCACCTGTAATATCCACCGCTCTCTGTCTCCAGCTCTGGCTCCACAGCACAGTATATCGAGGTCTGGGCACCTTGTACAATCGTTTTGGTGAAAGGTCTGACAATTTTCCAGGATATCAGCAGGGCTAAATTCATGTGTCTCTTCAGCTCAGTCCTCACTATTCCTGGGTGGACTGCATAAACTGTCACTCCAGTGTCTAACAAAGGAAAAATGGATGTAGAGAATCAAACCTCTTCTAAATAGTGCAGGCATCACATATTACCTTTTATCTTACTGAATAAGCACAAAATAACAAGATTTAGGGGAATGGCTCGACAATCTCATAAAAAGGCAATTCTTGCATGTTTGAAAAAAACAGCAGTGCTAGAAAGTTTATTAGTGAACAAGATAAGGCATTCTAAGAAAAGTATTATCTTTAAGCTAGCCAATGATGCAAAACTTCTATGATGCAAAGCTAGCCAATGATGCAAAGCTTCTATCATAAACCGCAGTGTTCTCAATGCAGTTCGTTTTGCTTGCCCAGGCCCACTGATAATGTCAACACCAATATGGGAGAAAAATAATTGTAACACAAACCCTTTAGTCTCTTGGCCAGGGACCGTGTACTCAGGATGTTGGCTAATTTGCTCTGTCCATATGCTCTTCTGGAGTGGTAGCTCCTCTCACTGTTGATGTCCTCTAGCTGGATCCTACCCCATTTGTGAGCCATGGAGGACAGGTTGATGATTCTGGCTGGTCTGGATCTCTTTATCAGATCAATCAGCAGGAAGGTGAGCAGAAAGTGACCTGAAAGACATGATATTCTAACATGTTACTCTACAGTAGATTACTTTTTTATTACTGCCTAGTATTTTCATAGGTCAAGATAATATATCATTTCACCCTATAGCCTTTTTGTATCTCTTTATTTGTGTTAAGTTGCTCTGTCTCACCCAAATGGTTCACTCCAAACTGCATCTCAAAGCCATCTGCGGTCTTAGAGTATGGACACATCATGATCCCAGCATTGTTGATAAGAATGTTCACTTGTTTCTCCTCTGAAAGAATATTTCCAAATAAAAAAAGTAATCACTGAAGTTAAGACTGATTGTGTTTTGTATTCTATTCTATATCGTATTCCTACATTAGACAAAGACCTCACATTTTGAGATTATAAAGAGATGGGACGAGTGACAAGTCTCTACTAACCCCTGTTGATTAACTCTGCAAATTCTCTAATGGACTTTGTGTCGGACAAATCCATCTTTCTGGTCACAATGTTGAGGTTTCCAGAGTTCTCAATGATCTCTCTCTGTGCCGCCTCAGCTCTGTCCAAGTCTCTGCAGGCCAAGATTATCCTGCCCCCTGATGATTATAGAAAAATGTCAGAGTATATGTCAAGTATGTACAGTATATGTCAACAAACATGCATCATTCTACCCATCCTTTGACCACAACATGGTAGTACATGTACTGTATAATAACATGGTGGTGCAAGTGTACTTACAGTGTACAAAATAACTGATAACTGAATAAGAAATGTAGCCTACCTCTCTTTGCCAGGTCCAGTGCTGTCTCTTTGCCAATGCCAGCATTGGCTCCAGTAATGATAACTGTTTTGCCATCTAGTCTTTCACTGGATGACCACTGACCACAGAGAATAGCTCTAGAGAAACATAGGAACACATGTGATTGTGAGCAGATACAGTTAAAAGGACACCTGTTGCTAAATCAGGCCTGGAATAAGTCAAGCTTTTAGAATGGTTTTGATACATTTCAAATAATACTTTATGTTGGATCATTATCCTACATACTGAACTGGCTGATGATGTACAATCAATGCAGCAACTTGAGCCAAGTAAAGCAACATTCACATAAATCAACAACAGAATGAGTAGAGTAGTAGAGCATGCACAGCCTACCTTATTGTATAAATGTTTGACATTGTAGAGCTGATGGCCGCCACACAGACTCCCTACCGTGTTGTCTCACAGCATGTCCTTTCTCTAAAGAATTACACTAGTTGAATTTCTGATCGAGTAAGTGTGTAGTGTATGCTATGTTAGAGCTGAGGACTGGATTATTGTAGTGGGTCGGATTGGGGTTGTAACAACTAATCCTAGATAATCTGCTAAAATTCAGCCACATGATCCAATCAGGATCTGCAGGAGTATGTGCATATAACCATTTCAATACCTATCAACAATTCTTGAAAACCACTGAGCTCTGATTTTAGACTGCACCATATAGATATTATAGTTGAATCAATAAAATAATATTTAGAAAAGATGAAAGCAAAATAATAATATTTTGAGAACATTGAGATGGCATTGATACTAAAAACAGAATTTTCACAACGTAACATACTGTATCATTGATAACGTAGCATGAATTAGAAAAGCTTATGAATATTGTTCCGACCTATAAACGCAACACTCTTAATACTGGAAAGGTTAAAGTGAATACCAGCTAGAAATAATGGCTTTTTGTATGATGAGAGTTGTACTAATCTCCTGTGGGCAGATTCTGCATGTACAGTTGACCAAACTACGCAAGATTTTACATCTGGTTTAACCGAGATTAGGATTGTACTAATCCTGACATGTACAGTTGACCATATTACGCAAGATTTTACTTCTGGGTTAACCGAGACCTGACCAAGAACACCATCTAGTGGTTAACATAATATCTATATTGTTTTTTCAAAACAAGATCATAGTTATAGAGAAATGAATCTCAAAGAATCAAACAAGTAATACATATGCTTTATACCACATTATAAACTGGGTGGGTCGAGCCCTGAATGCTGATAGGCTGAAAGCCGTGGTATATCGTATATACGGGTATGACAAAACATGTATTTTTACTGCTCTAATTATTTTGGTAACCAGTTTATAATAGCAATAAGGCACCTCGAGGGTTTGTGGTATATGGCCAATATACCACGGCTAAGGGCTGTATCCAGGCACTCCGCGTTGCATCGTGCATAAGACCAGTCCTTAGCCATGGTATATTGGCCATATACCACACCCCCTTGGGCCTTATTGCTTAAATAACACATGGTAGAATTGTATGGCTATAGTTCATTCTTACATGTTCTATGTTTGAGCTGCTTTTGAAAGCAAAAGTCGAATTGAATACATTATTGGCATTGTTGAATTTGGTTTTCATAATGGCAAGAAGCTGGGACTGATGGTTTGGTTAGCTAAACTAGCAAGTCTGTTTGTTTGGTTACCACGGCAACTACTGTAGCGCTCTAGTAAACTTGCTAGCCACTTCAGTGGATGTTGAACACATTTCTACCATTTCTACCTTAAAATGAACACATTTCTAATGTGTTAAATTATAAAAGGGATAATCAACACGGGGCTCTATGCGTTCTCTGGAAAATAATGCTAAAGCGTCGTGGAACACACCTTGCAAGTCATTCATTATTTTCCATAGAACGCATAGCATAGCCCCTCGTTGATTAACCCTTTATGCATTGCTGAATACTCGTTTCTGTTTGGCTAGAAGGGCATTCTAGAAAGGACATTAAGGGATAATCAACGAGGGGCTATATGTTCTCTAGAAAATAATGAAAGACGTGGAAGGTGTGTTCCACGACATGCTAGCGGAGAAAAATACTGAATACTGTTGCAAAACTGTTTTCAATCAAAATGTTGCTTTCAAAAGCAGCTCAAAGAAAACATGTAAAAATTAACTATAGCCATTGAATTCTACTCCGCAAATATACCGTGTGTTATAGGGAAATAATGCACGCTCTAGAATGCCCTTCAAGCCAATCAGAAACGAGTATTCTACAATGCCAACAAGCCATGATATAACTTAGAAATAATGGACAACGCAGCGAGTTAATTTTTCCGAGGTAATGTACATAATGGAGGTGTTTATCCAGCTTATACCACAGTTGCCAAAGAAAACAATATGAAAGCACACATTTACAGTAGAAAAACGTTTTTTCCATTGATATTTTCATTTTTATAAGCTAATTCATACTTTCTCATCTTTTGGTTGCTCGTTAGTTTGATTAGCTCGATATTTACGGACGCGACCCAGTTGTTCCTTCTTTATATTCAATTGACATGCTCAGTGGCAACGTTCTTATCCCTTGCTTGCTGCTAGCTAGTCAACTACAATTAACAGAAATATAAACGCAACATGTAAAGTGTTGGTCCCAGAAATGTTCCATACGCACAAAAAGCTTATTTCTCTCAAACTTTGTGCCCAAATTTGTTTACATCCGTTAGTGAGCATTTCTCCTTTGCCAAGATAATCCATCCACCTGACAAGTGTGGCATATCAGGAAGCTGATTAAACAGCATGATCATTACACAGGTGCACCTTGTGCTGGGGACAATAAAAGGCCACTCTAAAATGTGCAGTTTTGTCACACAACAAAATGCCACAGATGTCTCAAGTTATGAGGGAGCGCTCAATTGGCATGTTGACTGTAGGAATGTCCACCAGAGCTGTTGCCAGAGATTTTAATGTTAAGCCGCCTCCAACATCATTTTAGAGAATTTGGCAGTACATCCAACCTGTCTCACAACCGCAGACCAAGTGTATGGCGTCGTGTGGGCAAGTGGTTTGCTGATGTCATCGTTGTGAACAGAGTCCCATTTTAAAGGTATATGTGACTAACAGATGCATATATGTATTCCCAGTCATGTGAAATCCATAGATTAGGGCCTAATTTATTTAAATTGCCTGATTTCCTCATATGAACAATCTTTGAAATTGTTGCATGTTGCACTTATATTTTTGTTCAGTATAGCTACGGCTACACGACCAGAATAACAGCGAAGTTTATTCCGTTGCGTTTATTTAAGCTGTTTATCCCGCTTATACCACAGTTGCCAAAGAAAATAATACTAAGCACACATTTAATGGTAGAAATAAACAATTTTAGTTGATATTTTAATTTGTATAAGCAGTAGCGGTGCGTGGGTAACATCACTGGGGAAGCCAAGCCCCCCTCCCATATTACAACCTATGTGTTGTGATAATTGCATTGTTTGCTCTTTAACCTGTTAATTCATTTGCCTTGCGACCATGATATATAGGCCTAAAGGCCGACACAATAAGAAGACACAGTGGCAGAATAAATTCAACCACACCTTTGTTTTATCACAAAACCGGATAGCAACCTCTGTCCAGTGAATTCCACAAAGCATATTGGATGTACAGTAACAGACAGTTACATGACCTACAGCATGGTCAAGCAAGTTATTGTTTCCAACATTTTCGGACCACTAAACAACTATTGATTTAGAACCACAGAGAGTTACTGCAAGTAGCAAAGAAAACAGGAGCTGCCTCCACTATTCCAACATGGAATAGCTCAGTTGGTAGAGCATGGCGCTTGTAACGCCAGGGTTGTGGGTTCGTTTCCCATGGGGGGCCAGTATGAAAATGTATGCACTCATTAACTGTAAGTCGCTCTGGATAAGAGTGTCTGCTAAATGACTAAAATGTAATTTCAACATTTCAACATCAAATCACCTCTGCTTAGTCTAATACAGTGACAACTCAAAGATACCAAAAACAATTTAGTCCAATCAAAGTAAACTAAATATGATGTGGCTGTCCATGGTTCTGATTTCTGTGTGTTCGTGCAAGTAGAAAAGCATGTTGACTCACCCTACTTGTAGAGAAACACCAATGCCATTTTTTTTGTCCTAGGCTACCTGGCTAAAATGCTTGCTCGCTAGCCTAACGTCCATTCATGGGCAACGTTAGCTAGTTAACATTAACCTTCCACATCTAGCTACATAATGAACTTCCATCCGCTCAGGCCAGGGGCACAACAATGTATGAATTAATGGTTGGATCAGAATTGCCGTTATAATCATTGGCCAGTACGAAGAATTAAGTAAAACCACAAGTCCAAATCCCTATCTCCATCCATGGCCAATTTAGGAAAGTGCCAATTTCAGCTAGCTTGCTAGCTAGCCACCGGAGGACAACAACAACAACGAGATGCAACAATTCAAGTTGTTTCTGTCAATGATGTATGCTCTCAATGCGATTTGATAGGAGTGAGAGCAAAATCCAAACTGGCTTCCGTTTACACTTTTTTTTGGTGCGCCAGGACCATTCACAGTTGAACTCGCTCAATTTAGCTCAAGGCTGATTGGCAATTTTGTAAAAATTATTATTATCATCAAGCAAGGCCAAATGCTCACTGGCTTCCCTTGCATTCAATGCTACGGGCATCAACCATGTCATACTCGTTTGGACCAGACAGAATCAGATAGATGGCCTACACGTAGAGAGACAGAGGGGCGCTGTTTCGCTCGCTCGGATGCTTTTTCCTGTGAGATACATTCAGCCTCTTGCGAATTGAAGGAAAATTATGAAACACAGAGAGACTAAATAAATTATTTAATATTAGATTTCTTGGTAAATTTTTTGGGAATGCCTGGCTTCCCTAGGCATCCATGAATACACGCCACTGTGTATAAGTTAATTTATACTTTCTCATGTTTTGGTTGCTAGAGACGGGACCCAGTCGTTCGTTCTATTACATGCTGACTAGACCGGGCACGCGCGTGCGTCCGCTTGCGCCATCACGCGCATGTTGATTTTGTCCACCCACACCAGACGCGATTAGGACGCGCAGGTTGAAATATCAAAACGAACTCTGAACCAACTATATTAATTTGGGGACAGGTCGAAACACACGAAACATTCATGGACATTTAGCTAGCTTGCTGCTGCTAACTAATCTGTCATTAAACCTTGTGAAGCTGCTGATACCTCTCACCAAGTCACCTAATGTCTTCCTAGCGCCATAAAATACCGCCATGAATTAACATGGACTGTCAATGGAGACAAGTTTTTTTTTAAGGCATCAAACTGCCTACGCGTTCAATTTAGAATATTAGTGGTAGGCTATGCATACAGCAAAATACCAAAAATTTAGTTGGTATGGGTCTATCCATAGACCAAACAGCTCAACAGTAACACTTTTTTATTCAGGTGAATCGCATTGAATCAGGCTATTCATTTCAGTGCAGTTGCGTTCTTATGCATAACCTTAGCCTAAACGGAACCGAAAACATC